CAACAGAAAGAAATCCGTCCCCTCGAAAGGACACATGGAGACTATGCTCATGCAAAAGTGAAGAATTGAATGGACCAATGGACAATGTGACTAAATGTAACAAAGATATTTGCGCGAGAAACACATGTTTTAATAACAAATGTAACAAAGATAACAGCGCTGTGTTATAATTACAGGTTGCAGGTGTGAGAATTACACGTGTCGCTGGCAAATAACTGAGCACAGATTTCGAGAGCTCGTCTCCTCCGAGCTCACTTCGAATGAAAATCAGAGCCGAAAGAACTCGAGGAGGGTGAGAGAGCGGCGCACCCTTTGCAAGAGCCGAGTCTTACCACGTTAATTGCAAGTACTTCCCTCGGGGGGTATACCGAGGGGTATCGCGTATATGGATACGTGCGTATGTAGACGCTCGACTACGAGGGTAAACGCAGCGATGACTCGCAGCACAACACCCCATTTCTCTTTCAGTGCTTCGCTCGCGCGGGTCCTTTCATACCTCGCCGCTGGTTAAAATATTAGGATATCCCTGAGGTCTCTTACGCGGAAAGAGCACCACCGACCCTCCTCCTCTTTGTCCTCCTCGTCAAATTCTCGTGGAGTTGCTCGAAAGTCCGAATCAAAGCCTGCTCCCCTATTTATGTGCTCGGTTTCACGTATATGCCCACGAGTTACTACGTGGCTAGACACGCGTGTTGTCGCGTACGAGGGTGATTGTTATCTCTTCGTTAAAGCAACCAACGAGAAGTTGACTATCTACGAGAAGAACTTGTCTTATTTATAGAAAAGATGAGATATAATGAAACTGTAATTACTTGTATGCAATGCATTTGACGATAAGGATATTATTGGTCTCTGATCAAAAATGGATCGATCAAGTTAGTTATAAATAATTGTTATAAATAAATTTAGTCTGTAAATGAAGCAGGAGACGTATTCCTTAACAACAGATGACACCAATCAAGTCAACAGACACAGAATCAGGCTGTTAATTATTTCTGAAGCTCGTCCGAACATCAGCAGTGTCAAACTTGGAACTTGGGGTGCGATTATATTATTATGTCGCGCACCCGATGGTACACCCTCGTGATTTACCACTCTACAGTTCATATACAAAGTACACGCTTAATAGAGATCGCATTTAGCAGCTGTATAAATCAAACTACGTTACGTACATTGCACTCCCGGTGCCTTTAACGCGCATACACGCTCCACACTTTACGTAGTGTAGATGTATCTATTACAGTACATCCAGAGTATCAGATCAAGTATCTATGAGTATTAAAGATGTATGTAAAGGTGTATGTTATCTAATATAAATAATTATCTTAGACTTAATTAAGTAAAAAAAAAAAAAAAAACAAGACTTTTTTGGCAACAAAAAGCAAAATTATAAACTATCAATAATCTGTATCGTAAAATAGTGTGGCTGTTATTCTTTTATAATATATTTAATATATCAGTGATATTTATTTCCATACATTATTTATACTACAATTTCAATACATTATTTGTATTACATTATGATATAAACGTTTCTTGAGTCTTTTGACAATCTTGGAATCTTTTTCTAAAGTGTTCTTTGATTTTTTTTATGAAAAGAAGTTGAACATTACATAGAAGCACAATGCATGAAATATAATTTTTATATCTTGAAAGTTTAATTATCGGCGTCATTTCACGGCTTATTGTAACTTTCCTGGAAAATTTCACACGCCACTACGTTGGGATTTAATCCACCGAGTTGACAGTGCGGATAAACTGTGCCTGTACCACTCTAGCGAGATATTCATCTCTCGACATGGGCCGGATATTCCTACTGTTGCCATAAAATTGTCAACTTAATCTCGGCTACATCCGACCGAATATTTGACGAATCTTCAAATGTATAATATCTGAACCGAGCATATGCCTCACATATAACGCATGTAACTTTTCCTATTCTCAAAATTTTTATTTTTGTAAATTTCTAATAGACAATAAGAGAGTCAAAAAGTTTGTTTAGCGATTTACAATAATTTAACCGTGAGTATATTTATTATGATTATCTAGTTCTACGCTGCAGAGGAGAGTAAAGGGATGACGATGGCAGGCCAAATTAATCGCTCGTATTTGAGCTGTCAAAACCTGAAGGCCGCTCGTTTCTGTTGTGTTTAACTTGAAATTTGTATCTGTAATTTGTATCTGCAAAGCATAGACATAACATATGACGAAGTTTCTCTCGTCCACTAACATAAAGCTCTCCTTTCAATCTTTATAAAATATAATGAAAATATGAAAATTTTTGCTCATTCCAAATTGCTTAATAATTGATAAAAAAAAATAAAGACATTTTTTTTTTCTAAAAATGTTTGCTTCAATCCGTGATAAATTTATATGTGTATAATTAATTGACTAATTTTCCCTATTTACTTGTAACGCATAACAAATTTTTATTATTTTATTTCGAGAAGAGAAACGAGAAAAAAGTCACGCCGCTTTTATGAAAGTTTATTTGTACAATATAATTTTGACAACAGTAATCAGCATATCGGAAAAGATCCATCGTAACGCAAAAACATACGGTCGAATTATCGATCGGTATTGAAAAACGGCTTGTTAGTTTGAGTTGAATCACCTCGTAAGAAACCATCCCTAGGAGTTTCCCAGGTGTCAGACGCTTCCTGTGTTCCTTTCTGCCTCTATATATCTATCGATCCTAAGCATTCTGCACCCCTTCCTCTTTGTGCCACCGACTGTTATCCCTCTCTCCCTCTCATTCCCCTACGATCCCATCTCTTTATCACGCTGTAACTTTCTCTCTCGCTCGCAAACCCAATCTATGGGGTGGTTTATTCAACTGGCTTTTTTTATACATTTTTACAGCCATCTCGCTATTAACTTTTAAAATATAAAACAATAATTTAGTAAATTTATTTTAATCTTGTTCAAATATGTCGAATATAAGGCGAAGAAGCTGTTTAATATCCTTTTTAAAAAAAGATACTGAAAAAGTACTTTTGAGAGAAAATGGTAAAATACAAAGGTGTCCTTAATTAAGTTAGAGTAGCTTATTTTTTCTCAAAAATATTAAAAATATCAATTTCTAGATGTTATATTCAAGTTAAATGGATCACCCTGTATATTGCTGTTACTTTGCCCCTATACAGGTAGCCCTCCTTGTGATAGCTCACGCCATGGCGCGAGTAATTTTCCTTGCATATTTATATATGCGCTTCATCGAGAAAAGTGCCTCCGTTAAACGCTTCTTCTTTCTCTCACTCTCTCCGAAAGAATTAATTGCTACGTTTAATAGATTTATACTACGATGAGAAGAAACTCTCTCTTCCTTCGCGAATTTCCCTTTTGAACGGTTCATTGGTATTTGTATGATCAAAATTGAACTATCCTCACATCTCATTCGAGGTGATTTTACTAATCGTTTTCTGATATTTCGTGTCGCGATATTCGAGTTTAATACGATTAGCACTAAAAGATCTAACCTGGGAAAATATCTCTAATGTATTATATTGAACATAATTGATAATTCACATACTTTATTCGTAATAAGATTACGTGAGATTGCGCAAAAACAATCCTTAAACCCCTAGACCTCGATTTTTGTTTAACGCTTAACGCATCATTCGTAAAAAGTAAAGTAAGCGGTATTTTTCATTTCTGCTTTCACGTATTGTATTTATGCAGTGCAATAATTATTTCGTATTAAAACATGAAACAAATTATTTGTCAAAGAATGATATTCTTTCCATCGCGACAAAAGTAGTTTAGATCCGCGAGTGATCCGTCGACAATTCGAGCCCTTAGCTTCTGTCACAGCCAGTTAAAGCGTTGACAGTCGAGCGAGTTATATGAATGACAGTGGAAGTAACGCCGGCATTCCATTTCTGTCGTCAGTAGAGAAATAACATTTTATCGTTTGAGACGGAAACGGCTCTCTTTTCACGAGACAACAATATAGTTCCAACTTTGTAGCGAGGTATTATTACTCGTTCTAATATCGATAAATGGAAAGTGGTAAATGTTCGGCGTACATTTTAACCACCAACTTATCAATTAAACGCACGTGCCGCCAATAAAACGAACAAAATACAGCTAATGAGATTAGGCATCGTTACTAATTACTAATTAATGTGGAAACTTTGATGGGACTCGCTATTGTTTTCGAATAAATTTTTGTATTGAATTTAATTAAAAAATGCATAAAATAATACATAACAATATAAATAGAGTGTAACGATAAATAAAAAAACAAATATTTGCTAAATATATAAATATTTTTTATTTTATTCAATGTAACATAGAAATAAATATAAGCGTTCTAATAATATTTTGCAGTAATATCTTTTCTTTTGTGTAAAATTATCTCAAAGAAAATAACAAAAATGAACTGAAATAATGAAACATAACTTTTTTATATCTGCATGTATACTTTATATTGTATATTGTATAGCCAAACTTACACATACAAATGTTATATTATGTATCATCTATCGTATAAGCTGCAACTTTGAAAGCCAATCGAAGTACAACGAACACTTTTTTAATGGAAAGATGAGAAGATGGAAAGAACGGATTATTTGGTGCGTTTTGAATAAGATAAAATTAGCACCATTAGAAAAAAAGACAAGCTGTGAACACCCTCGCATGACAGAGAACTCACTCAGCCACGAACGAAAGCCCGGATGCGAACCATCGGCGGTCGTCTTCGTATCGACGGTGGCAGCGGTGGTGGCGGTGGCGGTGGCGGTGGCGGTGGCGGTGGCGGTAGCGGCGGCGGTGACGGCGGCGGCAATGCCACCCCCGTATATCGCGCACTCTGCCACCCCAAAGGTAGACACGCGGCTACTTTCTCCGCCACGTTTTCCCGATCCTGGTCTGACACCCTCCCATCGCCTTTGCTCGGTGGTGGTTTCCCATGGCGCGCAGAGGGCGGAAAGGATCTCGCCGTTCGCGGGCGTGGGGTTGCGCGCGCACTATCTACCCCCTCTGTATGTCCGGCACATAATCGAACTGGGAGCGCCGTGGTGGCCGTCGTCAGTTCTGTAAGACGGAGCTAAATTTCATTTGCTAAAATAGAAATATACTTTGGCTAAGACGAGAGAGGATAAAACCGAATGTAAAAACACAAAGTGGGAGAGACATGTTGAAAAAGTTTTTCATCGTAATAGAGTTCCGATCACTTACAGCCCGATCACTAGTGCAATCACGTCACTTATCGCTGAATTGTTGCGATATCACTGATGCACAAGTGCACGCGGGATAGAAAGATAGTGCGACTCGAGGAAAAGAGGGTAACTCGAGCCTGAAGTGTGTCTCGAAATTTGCGAAGCTCCTGTTATCAAGTAAGATTGTTTCGTTGCTCCGTGAGTGCCAAGCGGAGTGAAGAAATCCGAGTTGAATGGGGTTTCGGTCGTGAGGGTTTGACGAGGTTTGATAAACGAGGAGGAGAGCGAAGTTCGTTGTAGAGGTGGAAGAGCTGCGGCACCGCCACCGACCAAGAACGACCGATTTCGTTGGAGTTTAATCACATCCTCGATCAGGCAGGATATCGCGAGTTCTCTCCTTGAAATCACAATGGCGTCCAACTTCGTGTTCGTGGAATCGTGGCCGGTTGCGATCGACTGCGATATATTTCCATAAATATCGACATATACATCGTCCTCGGTACATCGCTCGATGCATCGCTGATTCAAATGAGCAGACTACCTACTAATTATCATTCTTCGAAACGTTTTCGGTAGCCAGTGGACGATTAAACAGGCAACATGAAAAGAATCCGCAAGAGGCACCCACCGAAGATAAAATCGTGCCAAATCGCGGCAGTGATAGTGTACGCGGTGATTGCGTTAGGTGCATGATGTTCCCGCCTGGGGGTATCTAGCGGTGTTTCTCGTCGTCCATCGTTCAGTGAATGTTGCTTATCGTGATGTAAGAATCTAGGCGATAGCGAGATGGATGTGTATGACGCGCGATTTATGATTTATTTAGTTCTCGATTAATTCGAGCATTTCGGAAGAAAGGCAACAGTCCAACGGCACCAGTCCAACAGCATTCGTAAATAATCTGTGTTCGAGTTAGAAGTTATGCCATGTTCTTCGAGAAGGAATGGACGAATATCAATGATAAACGAACATTTGACGCGCGTATCGCATTGATCGTTTCCGAATTGCTGCCCGAATGAAACTAAGAAAATGTACAATAACTCGGAGATAATTGAATTGATTCGTTAAATTTCCTCGACTCGCAGAGTTCGCGTATTCTATCGTATCGCACACAAGTTACCACGACGAAGAGCACGATGTCGCGTGAAATCGCGATAGAACACGGCAGACCGGTACCGGACCTCGCGAGAAAGTGATAACGGCGAACGAAGAGTGTGGAAAGAGAAGGAAGGATCGTGGCGGTTCGACATCGACAGTTTTTACAGGACAACCTTTCAACCTGGCGGACCAAGAGGAAGGCAGTGGCTCGGCGGCGATGCAGGGCAAGGAGAGCCCCGTTGGGTCCAACACCCAGGAGACCCATCAGTACGTCGGCCCATATCGGTTGGAAAAGACCTTGGGAAAAGGCCAGACTGGTGGGTGGTGCGCACTCTCTCCCTCTTTCTTCCTCCCTTCCTTCCTTCCTTCCTTCATCTCCTACTCCGTTATAAATCTCTGTTGCTATCGTTATCGTGATCAGCGATACCACAGAAATTAAGTCTAATTAAATCGAAATCAGAACTCACTTGAATTCCGTGATGTTTAAAAGGATGCATGGGATGTCGCACATGCATTTCGCAAATGTGATGAGATTACGAATTATATTTTATATTTTTACAACGTGAAACGAGCTTCGAATCAACTATTTTACGTTTTCTTGATTGAAAAGATTAAGTGGTTAAGGTTTATATATATGTGTGTGTGTGTGTGTGTGTGTGTGTGTGTGTGTGTGTGTGTGTGTGTGTGTGTGTGTGTGTGCGTGCGTGCGTGCGTGCGTGCGTGCGTGCGTGCGTGCGTGCGTGCGTGCGTGCGTGCGTGTGCGTGCGTGCATATGTTGATCGATACAAATTTGTCGTGAAACTTTTTCGCGCGACTTCGAGGTCTGCCGCACTGTAGCATAAAAAACACGTGTAATTCTCACGGATTATCTCGCTGCCTACGCAAGTTTCCGAAATGAAAACATTTTTCCTATTTTCTTGAATCAAGGATCGAGAAGTCTATTATCGCCAATGCGATGGCGAAGATAAACTTGTTTAACGGACATGTAATAATGATAATTAACGAGACTTTCAGGCGTAGCGATAATAGGATCGAATCGAAGCCATTCCGCGGTCGTGCACGGTAAGACTATTAACTTCATAGTACCATTGCCGAATACATTTTCATGGACCAACGATTCAATTCGAATATTCAGTTATATCTTTCTGCTCTCTCTACCACGTACGACTCTATCTCTTCTCGTTTCGGATTCAAATGCAATTTGGATTAGCCCTCGGCGTAACTGCAGCACGTGCGAATTCGTTTGGAAAACGGATATATGTTTCTGATGTAACTTACATATACATCAAAAAGATTCGCAAAATAAACAATATTTTGAATGTACACATATACACATTTACAACGGTAATGCTATAAATTTCTGCAAGCGCCAGAAGTTTCAATTACAATTGTTACGAATGAGGCAATTTTATTTTATGATGTTTAGTATATTTTAATAAGATATATCGAAAAAAATCGAAATAATTAAATAAAAGATAAACGATTCTTGGCGATATGATTTATAAAAGATTTATGAAAAAAGAACCGATGCATTTTGCAAAGAGCTCACGCAAAGATCAAAGATTTGCAGAGGGGGGGGGGGGAATCTAACGCAGCACTAATTTGCTCTCACCTCGAAGGCATTTCATGCTATTATACGATCGATATTGACAACGCACTAATTATGTTACGTAACTATAGGTTATCTATAGGCCGAGAATTAGAAAGTAAGAATAAAATTAGAAATTAAAAACGTTTTCAAAGGTATAATCCTATGGGATAATCCTATCTCAGCGGCATTCCTGATAATATTTTAAACTCTCGATATATAAGAAAATTATTTTACATAATTACATTCATTACATAATTACAGTTGGCAGAACCAAAATACACTTTTTAAGAATACACATCGCTTCGTACGTAACGGAAGAAAATGACAGGAAATTTAATTTTTAAGTAATAAAAATCTAAATCGTTCGTTGGTAGATCGTAACTTGATATTCTAGTAATAAATGTGGCTATAATCTTATGTTTCAGAGGCCACTTTATATCATATTCACTGTACAAAAAAAAAAATCTGACGATGATTGTAAATCTTTATGAAGCGGTTAATGAGCGTTTTTAATTAAATGTCACCAGCAGGGAGATTGGAGTAGAGAACAGGGGGAAAAAGTAGTAACGTCGACGACAACGCGAACATATCGAAGAAGAAAGAATTTACGCGATTTGCGCGTATATACGCCGTGTATATGCCATGCCGCGTGTGTGACGCAAGAGCAAATTAGCGATATTAAGATAAGAAATTCTTCTCTTTTTCAGTCAGAAAAAAATTTTATATTTCGGATATGTCTCTAGAAATAGAACACAAATAGAACACGATACAAATGCGAAACTTAAATAGAAACACAATTTGGTTCTTCGATCAACATGTAATTTCGCAAAAGCTCGTTAATGAATTCACGGCTCGGCTTCCAACGGATGAGTCTCGTGGTGGTCATTTCCTCCGTGGCGGACTATATCGATCCCGTATGCACCTCGAAAGGGGTGCATACTCCGGCACGTGACAATACGGCGCGTTAATCATACGAATGAATTCCTCTCCACGCTTTGAATTCCGTGACCTATACGCGGGCGAGTAATGAAATTGCCGCTCGTGTTTGCGACATGAGTGCGCGCGGTTTGAATTATAACTGGTGAGATCGATGGAGAGAGAAGATGTTAGAAAGAAGAATGTAACAGCTTACCGGCTTCGCTTCTCGCCAGAAATGGAGATGTTAAAAGATGTGAAAATTCCCCTCCCCCGGCAAACTTGGCGAATCGAATGTAAAAAGTAAATCAAATCGAAAACGATGAATCGATATTACGTTAGCGTATATTCCGGCAACGCTTTAAGTGTAAAATACTCGTTTCACAATAAGATTTATCTTTTGTTTCATGTCAAGGTATATTCAAAGTAGATTCAGAACAAAATGTGTCAACGTTGTAAATTTAAATAAAGCATTTGAAGGAATTCATCATCGAGTCTCTCTCTCTCTCTCTCTCTCTCTCTCTCTCTCTCTCTCACTTGTTGGATACGTCAAGATGTGAACCGAGTTATGCGCGCGTTGGCTAAAATTTAATGTTGGCAAATACATGTTTTAAATTACATACGAAAAGCTTCTCTCTGCAAATGCATATGCTATCGACACCATTAAATCATGGATGACGCAAATCGTTAGGGGAAAGTGCACTTTAAACTCTCGATGGTCTCAATAGCCGCTAATGCAATTGCCACCGGATTTGACAGGAAACGCCGCGTCCATTTAATTCCATAGAAATTGTCATCTCGTCAATCACAAGCGAGACTTAATCTCGCGCATTTTGATTGAGAATGGCTGAAAGATGGTCATCGATCATAAAAAGTGTCTTGGACTATTTATAACATTCTAGTGTAACGTCACAGAAATGTAATATATTTTTAGACAACATGTAAATAAGTGCATGCGATACAGACACAGAGAAGCTGACGCGCACGTGAAAATTATTTTTCGCTCGAGTAATCAAAAAACGTCCATCACTTCGCGATAATCAAGCGCCTGCGATATCTCTCACAATTTTTACGTAATCGTCATGTAAAGCTACGCGATTCTTTATCTAGGATTAAACTCAGTAATCCTTCGAATAGACGCGACTTCGTTATGAAGATTCTTAATTGCTGTCCATCGTTGTTCCACAACGAACAATTTCTTTCTGTATTTTTCTTTTCTTCGCTTATCCGCTTAAGCCACGTACAGCCGTACATCGTCATAGCGCAGCCATTTAAGTGGATAAAGACATAATGTAGCGCGGTTCGTTATGGATTTCAGACAACGATTTAAACCAATTTTGTATGTACCAACCTTAGATATTCTATTTTTATATTGGCTCTTTTTCTTGAATATTTTTCATCGCTTATAGTTAGTTATAAAGAACCATATAAATCTGATCTTAGTTTTTTGATGATTTAATTAACTTTCATTGTTGTTATATTCCGAAACATCATACAACAAATTAATACATATATACCATTGATATCTATGTGATTGCTCGAAGGACGATGATATTTTCTAGTAGTATAAAATCACGTAGAAAAAAATCTACGAGCGACGTTAAACTTTTCGAGATTTTACCAAGTGAAAAGAATGGCAAATTATTCGAGTAAAACTACTCGATATTTACTGTTCGAAATGTAGTTTACATACTCTTTATCACATCTTTGACAATTTCGTTGATTCTTCTTGTTACTTTTCTATATTTAACTACAAATCAGAATCACAACAAAAATTATAAAATTTTTTAATTACATAAAGGTAAAAAATAAAACAATTATTAGGTCTATCTCTGCGTATATCATATCAAAACAATATAATTATAATAACCAGTAAAATAACCAGTAGAAAATCATACATCATCGAAATTTTTTGAATGCTCGCCTAAAATAAAAGATTGCTTTTTTTTTTTTAATTTCAGGATTGGTTAAACTCGGCGTGCACTGTGTATTGGGTAAGAAGGTAGCGATCAAGATTATCAACCGCGAAAAGCTTTCGGAATCCGTGTTGATGAAAGTGGAGCGTGAGATTGCCATTATGAAACTGATCGACCATCCGCACGTGCTTGGCCTCTCGGACGTGTACGAAAACAAGAAATATCTGTAAGTGCATTGACAAACTTGTCAGAAAAAGTTCAAGGCTAACAAATAGGACACAAGAGTATCACGCATTTTGCATATTCTTTCAAGATATCTCGTTCTGGAACACGTATCAGGCGGAGAATTGTTTGATTATTTGGTTAAAAAGGGCAGATTGACCCCGAAGGAAGCGAGAAGATTTTTTCGACAAATAATTTCCGCATTAGATTTTTGCCACAGTCATAGTATATGGTAAGTCTCGCGTATCGCTTATAATCATTTGTTTGAAAATATCTTGAATTTATTCTCATGTTTGATTTTTGTCACTTTCAGCCATAGAGATTTAAAGCCCGAGAACTTGTTGCTGGATGAAAAAAATAACATTAAGATAGCAGACTTCGGAATGGCGTCCTTACAACCCGCGGGCTCTATGCTGGAGACTAGTTGCGGATCGCCTCATTACGCTTGCCCCGAAGTCATTAGAGTAAGAGAGTTCTAGTTACAATTAATTTACTTATATTAAATTGTGTAGAAATGATAAATTAAGCGAGTAGAATAAGTCTATTTTATTTTACGAGCAACGTCAGAAAGTTATATGCGAAAATTATTATTATTATTATTATTTTAATAGGGTGAAAAGTACGACGGTAGAAAGGCAGATGTATGGTCCTGCGGGGTAATACTTTACGCGCTTTTAGTAGGCGCCTTACCCTTCGACGACGACAATCTGAGAAAATTGTTAGAGAAAGTTAAACGTGGATTGTTTTACATACCGCACTTCGTGCCACCCGAGTGTCAAAATTTGCTTAGAGGCATGATAGAAGTCGATCCCGAAAAAAGATTGACGGTGAGGCTATTTCTGTTCGCTTTCTCTCTTTCTCTCCGAATACATTAAAGTGAACCAAGGCACGTCGATTTGTTCCAGTTAGCGGAAATAAATAGGCATATTTGGGTAACGGCGGCAGGTAAAGGTGAATTAGAATTGGAACTGTCGATGATGGACGTGGTGCAAACGCACGTTATTCCGTCCGTGGAGGCGATCGATCCCGACGTGTTGCAGGCGATCGCGAGTCTTGGTTGCTTCAAGGAGCGCGACAAACTCATTCAAGAGTTGCTCAGTCCAAAGTAAGATAAGACTTTAAAGTTGGTTTCCATTCGTTTGAGTGTTTGAAAAGTATTGGAGAAAGTGACTATAGCGGATCTAACCTTGGAATATTCTCTCAGCCATAATACGGAGAAGGTGATATACTTCCTGCTGCTGGAGAGGAAACGAAGAAGACCGGCTTGCGAGGATGAGCTTGAGGTAATGAGAGGTGGCATGAGAGGATCTGCCGGACAATTGGAGGTTGATCCGCCGAGGAAACGGGTGGATACGTGTAGAGTGAACGGAAGTACCGCGCTTAATCTCGGACAGATCAGCCATGGCTCGCCTTTGACACCCAGAAGACAATCCAGGTAAATTCGAGAATAAATTCAAGTTGGAAAGGAAAATTAAACACGTTACGTTACACGTAACACAGATCGTGACGGATTCTCTTCTCTTATGTCGCGTGGAAAAATGAAATCTGAAGAATACTCGGCGTATATACAATAATAATTTTGCGGATAAAACCAACGCGCCAACTATACTATACGGCCGAAAACGTTCTGTAACGGTAGGCAAGTTCCGCGGTCCGCGGAAGTCAAACACCAACCAACAATCGCGTGATAGCGTCAGCGTTTATCCGCACATGTCGCGTGCATCACGTATGTCACGTGTCTCTTTCCCTTTCCTTTTTTCCCCTTTTTCGTCGATTCTGAGCACGATTATCATTGCGCGAGCGATTATCTCCCGCGCGTTTACGCAACGTCTGAACTCACGTCAGGTGCGACTAGCGAATTACATTTCGCTAGATTTGTTCGCTTCATCCGATTAAATACTGAAAAAAAAAAAAAAGAATGCCACTTGCAACGTGTAATCTTTTTGTAACTCAACGTGGACGAATCTCGTTTGCGATATCTCGTTAATTGGCTCTCACTCACATTATTTGCAGCACGAGACACCACGCGCGTCGATCACCTAGCACGGGTGGATGCCATACCCACGCGTCTCATTCGCACACATCGACACCGGGCAGTTCGCCGTTGCACGCACCCGTGGGTCTACTAAGTCCCCACAGAGCGGTACCGACGTCGCACATGGGCCAGACGATCGTCGCCGGTGCACATAGACTGTCCACCGGTGGTGGTACTACCGCTACCATCGCCGGAAACGGCGGTAGCCCCACGAGTCAAAGCGTCCCGACGCCGACGCCAGCGCTCGCCAACGTTGGTATTGAACTCAACGACGTGCAGCCTGGTGAGTTTAGCTCAAAATTAAACTTGAAATTATTATCTTACCTGAAATTATGTCTCTCCGAAAATACCATTTTTTTTTTGTTTTGTTCTGTTCTTTAAAAACGTACTTTGATACAGAATATTCTCGCGCGCCCAGTAATATCGCGCTGTCCAGTAAATTAACAATAACGCAAAGGTGCTATTCGCGCGCGCGCGCGCGCGTGTGTGTGTGTGTGTGTGTGTGTGCGTGTGTGTGCGAGAGAGAGAGACTTTTCGCCAATATACTGCCTTGCATTGCATTCATTTCCGCTTTTTTCTTCTTTTTTTCCACAGTATTATCTTCAAACATTTTTAAGTTTTGATCACTTTATATACGTATGATGATCGCTACGTTATGAATCACGTGTATCGTGAGGCTGTGTCGTACAACATCGATAATCGCTTAACTGCTGCTCTTGGAAACCATATCTATACTGTCGTAAGCAAGGCAGATCGAATTACATTAAGTGCTCTCATGTTTATCGCCTGGGATTGTGTATCGATGTTTAAATAACGAGTCCCCGATGCAGATTAGTATCTTACATTTTAGCAGATATCATAATTCTGATTTATATATATTGAATTGGCTGTAGTTGGCTGTAATTGTATAAAATTGCGTTATAAATTTGCTTCAAAAGATAACGGTCCTCTCTATTTCGATCGCATAACGATCATATTTACTGGATCATATTTACTTGAAAAAAATCCACTTTTCGTACTAATTAATTGACTAATTAATTAGATAAATTAAATTAATCTAATTAAGAGGGAGAAAGTTAATATCTTAACGCTTTTGAAATCAAGTATATGTTTTATAGATGTAATTCATTTCGTAGTAGTCGCGGTCGGCGTTACACCGCCGGGATCGCCTCACACGGGAGCGGGATCTGGAGCTCATCACTGGAGATCGCGATTGACCACGTTCAAAAATTCTTTCTTGGGCAGTCCCAGATTTCATCGTCGTAAATTGCTCACTAGTACCGAAGAGGTATGCGATAACGGATGATGAAAATAAAAATTAATTTCTTTTCATTGCTTATTATTTAACGAATTTTGCATCAATTACGATATATAGCGAAAGTTACATTTTTCAATCAGTGATCTCGATCGGTAGTTGTTCTTAATCGAATTAAAAAGTCTATAAATTCACATTCATGTTTTCTCAGCAAAAATCAATTAAAAATGTAGCAGTAATATATAGAGCGATAAAAGATTTATTTATTCCGATGTGATACCCATTATCAAGTTTCTATCACATATAGGTACATCTCACGCCGGATTCTTCGCCGGAACTTACGAAGAAATCATGGTTCGGTAGTTTGATGACTACGGAAAAAGACGAAACCTTCACCGTTTTAGTCAAAGGAAAACCGCTAGCCAGTGTGAAAGCTGATCTAATCCATGCTTTTTTATCGGTAAGTATACCGAAACTGAAGCTTGTCGTCTTCGTCTTTGTTTCGAAAGACATCTTGAAAGTAAAAGAATTATGCGACTATTAATAAGCTCGTATTTATCTTAAAGGAATAATTTTCACGTTTGGGAGAATGGCAATCGCCGACAAAACTTTAGAAAAAAATGAAATTTTATTAAAATCTGGCTAATTATATTGACAACTTGACTGATCGTCTCTCTCTCTGATCGTACATCGTATAATATGGAACAAACTGGCCGTTTGCAGATAGCAGAATTATCTCATAGCGTGAGTTCGCCGATGTCGTTCAGAGTGGAATATAAGAGAGGTAGCACCGCACCAGCCATGTTTCAAAGACAAGTGCGATTTCAAGTTGACATTAGTGCAATCTCGAAGCAGCCAAACGAGCCCCTCTTTGCCATTACCTTCACATTATTGAGCGGTAAGTGCACAATCGCGTTCTTACTCTAACTTTCTCTTTAGGAAAACTCGAATTTTCGTCATTCTTAAATTAAAAAAATAGAAAGACAGAAAGATAGAAAAAGCGAAGGGCCCAAAAGGTTCAAACTGAATGCAAACAAAAGATATGCAATCCTCAGATACGCAAAAACACTACTCGCTGTAGACAGTAGTAAACTGTTAGAGATGCTACGTTCTTCGATGTTTGGCAACTATCCAAGCGCAACTAGATCGATGTTACCTTGGCACTTACAGCTAATACATACATATAAATTTATGTCTTATCCGCAACACATATGTACATTGTTCGTTTGGTAAGTCGATGTGTGGCAATGTCTTTTTTCTAACAAGTCGTTCAGCCCGTCATGCGTCTGACAAGAATTAACCGTAACCGTTTGGTTCATAAATTCAATCAGCAACCAGAAACACGCAATGTAAACACAATGTCCATCTGTATTGTGGTAAACAAAAACTTTGGTCTTTATTTAGAGAGTAATTTAAATGCAAATTTTCGATGAAATCATGATGTTAATTCTTAACTTGATAATACTTGATAATTGACTTCTTGCATACGGTAAATTTGCAACTTTTCTCAAAAAAAAAAACTAGACAGTGTCGAATCAGACAATGGAACATTCGACGTTCGCAGGGAATATCCGAAGATTTAGGCGAGTGTGCGAGCACATCCAGTCTCAAGTGTGTTCGAGAAATGTGGGCATAAACTTGGGAGGGCAAAGCAGAGCTGCACCGCCTAGTCCAAGGGCCTCCAGAAAATTTACCGCGGAAATGAGTGAGAGTTCCAGCTGCGGCAGCGACACTAGCGAAAGACTTTTTCTCAATCCTCATCCAGCTACCAGACAGGTAGTCTGTTTTAACAAGGTAGTGCATCATCTCCATCATCTTCATCTTCATTGTCACTGTTATCGAATAATTATCCTTATTTTCATCTCTAGCTGACTGAAGTTTCTCAAACGAAAATTATTTCGGCAACATAATTTCATAAAAATCACATCACTCCTTTCTCATTCATTCAACGTTATCTGCTTCTCGATGAATTATTCAACAAGCGGCTTTTTAAATTTTCATTTCTCATTTTATTTTATTTAAGTAACGCTATTGCGTAGATATTTGCACGGAAAATAGCAAACGAAAGCTAAAAGAACTGAGGAGAAAGAATTCCAACTAAGGGAATATCCGCGATAACAATGTATATCGGTGTATATATATTTCAGATCGATTCGGACATAGAGTCGGATACGTCTGTATTCGATGTCAAGTCGCCGACTCGCGAGAATGGTAGAAGGAGCTCAACGTCGACGAACAACAACAATGCCCTGCCGAGCGATACGACACCGACGCCAGGTAGCCCGCCAAAAGCGGTGCGAAGTAATTCGGAAAGCCAAAATACGCCCGAGAAAAAATGTGTCACTACAATGAGTGGCAACAACATAGCGTGATACTACCAGAACCTTCGCTTTGAGTTCCGATCAAGTCTGAAGAGCCTATGGGACAGCGCTCAGAGGTCCTTCTGGTGAGGTTTCCTCTGACGAACGCTTACAGCGCTTTAACAGAACTGCAAAAATGCGTGAAATGCGTACATATCTATATACGTAATACGACATTGCAACAAACAAGATTAAATGATCTAACATCATGGATTTTATTGTCAACGGTAATAGCGAAAAGAATAATGAATTAAGAAGTGACGGCGAGGGTACACGCACTTTCGCACAATGTATAATTCGAAACATCGAAACTTTCAGTGCAAGCTTCAGATACTAGAGTTTTCATTCTCAAAATTAGAAAGTATCTAATTTTGTTTCGAAAGATATGAAAAAATAAAAATGTTCTTTGCGAACAAAAACTAAATGTTATAGAAGCTGTATACTGCAATATTAAATGCAAACATCGTATTCTGTGTTTGCAAAATAAATGAATCTTCGAGAGACATTATTTTCAAAATGCCTTCAGATAAAACCGCCACGAACCTTGGTGAATACGGCGTATATTTCGATAAACAAGCCTACATGAAGAATCGTATAATTAAAAAGTGAAATGTAAAATATATTAAAAAACCGTGTTTCGCGTGAAGTTTAAGTGCAATAATATAATATGATTACTGATATCATGAAGTTGTATCGTGCCTGTGTTAAGTTTCACAAATAATGCTTTTCCGCGTTTATTCGTTGATTAGAAAAGGCACAAACACCATTGCTTGAAACGCACCACGTCGAGAAATTATAAATTGTTTGTCCCGCAAGTTACAATTTTTATTTACATCCTCGTTTGCTTCTTTTGCAATTTTGCAATTGCAAAATTTTTTATTTGCTATTTCAATCATTTATATCAATCTCTTCAAAATAATCTGTCTAAACATACATTCCGACATTTAACTACACTGACAGGAGACACGGTCGAGTGCGAAGAACGTCTCGAAAGATCTATCTTTTTTTTCACACATATAATCGAAAAAAAAAAGAGTCTCGCGATCGTATACGAAGCGCAAATATGATTTGCTTCTCGCAAGAAAAAGTGGAGGACGATGAAGTCGACGATGGCATGCAAAACCCGCCGCGAAGCAATTAAGGGCTAGCACGTTGCTGAATGTATAACTCATATAGGGAAAAAAAAATATATATATATATATATATATATATATATATAATAAAAGAAAAAAGCAGTAAGAGCTGCTGCACTTCCCTAAGCGATATAAGACATAAGTAGTTATAAAGATTATTCTCAATACAAACATATCTCGAGATTGTCCCTATCGGCTTCTTAGTAAAAAGCGATATAAAACATATAAATGCATTTAGCACCATTTTTAAGCGAAGGTTTGTTATAAGGCCACATCGTGATAAACGTTACGAAGAAAGGGAGAAAGATAAAGTTAGATAAAAATACCGGAGGAAATAACGAGCGTTGAACGCTCAGATATTCTCGCGGATCAATATCTTGAAATCGATCGAATTTTCAAAAATGCGATGCGGAAAAAGGATTGTCTTCGATGATAATCCAATGACGATGATTATGATCTTCAAAGTTCACACGATTAGAATTAGATTAGAATTAATAGCAAAAGTGCATAAACATTCGCACAAATCAAAATTGTGATTTTTCTTTTAATGTGCGTTGTCCTCCGATAGGCGTTCCCGCTTCAGATATTATCTACGTATTATACCGCGCATGTGACGACTCGTTCCTATATATAAATATTCGAGGGCTATATCTTTATAATCAATTTACGATACGAAAAGGAAGAATTAATGATCTTCTCTTTCCGTTGCATTTCGGATTAGCAAAATTTCGCAAGACACAAAACGCGATGGTGTTTTCCAGGTGGTGTTTTCCAGAAGCTCAGGTAATGACAAACACGTTGCCATTCCGTATTGTCAAATAAAAATACGTAATACGACAAAAGAGAATTTAGCTGGATTACGTATCGAAAATGCTATAAAAAATGGAATAAAAGAGAATGACATTTTATGAAAAATCGTTAATCCTTAACTATTTTCAATTTTTAAAATCGCTTCTACTATGACGCATAAACGTTCGATAACAATCTAAAAAACTAATGAGGGATTTATCTAAAGAATTTAGACGCAAACATCAAATCACATCAAATAGATGAAATAACTGTTTTTCTTTTTCTTCATCGCTTTCCGAAAAAATCCAATTATTATTTCTGATTGCCGCAGAAATAGAAAAATCATTGATCAGATATAGCCAAAGAGGAAGCAAGCATTAATGTCAGTAGTTAAGGGTTAAAGATACATAAAGGTTTGAGCGAATTATTTACGAGCATGTCATTCATGGTTGTTGATCATAGGATAATTATAACAAGAAAAAACTGACGAATGTCATTATTTGAATGTAGACGCGATTAATCTGCAATGGAAAAGTCCTTGTTATTTTCCATGCGCACTATTCGCAAAAAGAAGATGATATCCTCTGAAATCGCTTGACGGTGTAAATTAATTCTATTTGATATTTTTTACGTTGAAAATTCGGACTTTGCACGAATTGTTTATTAGTGTGAAAGTAATAGGGAAAGAAAATGAAAGGGAGAGAAAGTATGTGTGTGAGCGTATGTTTGCATATATGAGAAAGAATAAGAAAGAAGAATGAGGAAGTACTCGTAAAAAGATGAATGTGGATTTAGTATTAAACAATACAAAACACACACACACGCACGCGCGCGCGCGCGCGCACACACACACACACACAC